GATGAAATTTTGCCATTTGCAGCAAAATGGAAGGAACTTGTGGGGAACAAAGTTAGCTGAAAAGATAAAGACAAATATCAGATGATTTCACATGTATGGGTAATAGAAGAAAAACAAAGTAGATGAGCAAAATAAAATAAATTAGTGGACTTTGATCAAACAGATTTTACCTAGGTGAAGATTCTAGGGGATGGTAAGATGGTGGAAGTGTGTATGGTGGATGATGGTGTGCATTTTGTTCTGGCATTTTTGTTTTGGTTTCTCTCTATAAAAAAGTGTCAACTGAGGAACAACACAATGAAACTAAAAATGTTCTTGTTTTTCATCTTAAATTTGCAAATTAGGTAGCACAAACTCAAGATATTGTCCAAGGGAAGGAGAGGATTGCAAAAACTAGCATTGGTTATAAATTGAATTTTTAAAGTTCACTGACTTTTATTCAACATGGTCTTGATTACAGTAGAGAGAAGAAAGAGGAAAACATTTTATTTATACTGTTCTTGAAGAAGGCTGTATCTATCTGGAAACTGTTTCTTGCCTGTCAGTAAATAGCTTGCTTAAAAGTTCAGTAGCACAGAGTCTCAGATGCAACATGAGGTCAGTTCAATTGATACAAACATCTTTTCACAGTGGGATCTATTTTATAGAACCTGGCTGCACACCTCCCCCCCCCCCACCCCAGCTCCAACTGATTGCCTAGGTTGCTGAGCACCTGTTTACCTTAGCGATGGAACACTCACATGGTTCTTAGTGGTCAGTTCTGACCCACATAGCACTACCACTTGGACACATAGCTGTAGAGCTCAGCACAGCCATGGAGGCCCTTCTCTCTGTCCTGGTGTCCACTTGCTACCTGATCCTCGAGTACTTGGAGCGGGGCACTCTGCTGGTTTCTGAGAGCTTGATATATGGGGTTTTTGCTGTGATGATGGTGATGATAATAACAAGACAACATATTTTAAGAAGTTGAAGGCACTAAGCAAAATGTGTTCTGCCTCTGATGAATTCTATGGGCAGTGAATTGAGAAATTCAGCCCATTAATGTCAAGTCTGAAACATGCTGTGACCATCCCTGCATCCTCTGTGGAAATCATTGATGCCCTCCAGGCACTCTACCCACATTACAAACTTTGTGTTCGTCAGCAGTGAAAAAACCTAGGCAGGTCATCATTTCAGAACAATGTCTACTTTCTGGAAAAAGCATAGACGAGCCAGCCTCCTAACCTTTCTGAAGTCAGTGTTGAAAATTCATTTCAAAATCATCAGAGGAGAGTGGAGAACAACTTCAGAAGAAAGAAACAGCTTTGAATGAAACAGCTTTGAATGAAAATGCATTTTCCATAAAGGCCACTACTGCTCAACCAAGAAATTTCTAGAAGGAAGCAGAGAGTACTGGAAAAGGGGGAGAGAGGTTGGAGCTCTCACACACATGGATGGAGCAGGTCCTGAAAGATAAATTCAGCCCATTAATGTCAAGTCTGAAACATGCTGTGACCATCCCTTTGTCCTCTGTGGAAATCTTGTGGATGATGGGACCTTGGAAGTCAAGCAAGAAAGGGAAGCCTACAAGGGCAGTTATTTCTTATCTTGGTCAAAGGTTGATCTGAAGGGTATGGATGATGCAGGATTCAGTGTGTCTCTTCAAAGTTCTGAAAAGGAAAGTAAAAAAAATAGTTGTGAGAAGAAAAACAAATAGCTGAAGAGCTTACAGGACCTATAACAAGTCTCCAAATTGAGGAAGCATCTTTGCAGCATGAAAATTTACATCTTGAAAGTGAGATTCAGCAACTTACCTCATAGTCTGCCTGATATATATGACAACATGTCATGCAACTTAAGAGAAAATTATTTAAGGAGGAAAAGCATTGCTTAGAAATGGAGAATACATTTTATGAATCATGTGAAAATAATGAACTCCACAGGTCAGTTTTGCAATCTCTACAAGAAGATAGCCTTAGGTAAGGTTAAACAATAGGAGAGAACCACTTGTTACCAACAAAAAGAGATCCTCTTCCAAGAGAAAGGATCCCAAGAGATATAACAGCTGCGTCCACTGAGAGCTGAACTTGAGGAACTGAGAAACAATAATCACAACAGGTAAATTTTGGCCAATGTCCAGTCCCAGTGCCAGCCTTTCCCAAGGAGTTCTTTTGCTCCCTTTGCTCTTCCCACAGCTCACATAGGCTATGGAATGTCAGGGGATCCCATGGGACATTAGCTCCTCCAAGAGGGAGGAGGGTCATTCTGTAAGGGCCCAGTCTGGGGTTACCTGCAGGTTTGACTCAGTTTCCTGACAACCAGGCCTTGAGTACCCACAACCATGGCAGCACAACATACAACCCACATTGTGAATATAAGGCCTCCTTTTTTAAGATTTATTTATGTATAGAAGAACTGGGGTGTAGGCAGAGGTGCAGGGGGTGAGAGGATTCACCAGAGAGAGTGGGGAGTATAACAGGTGGATCCACTGAAATACACTGCTGAGTGGAGCAGTGGGCGAGACAGGAGAGGTCTGCTGCTGCCATATGTGGGTTAGCTCCCTGTCTAGGGTGATATCAACTATCAGCGGTGATATCAGCTATTAGTGGTGATGGCTGATAGAGTGAGAGCACTGAGACTTAACCCCTACACCGCCAGGGAACCCCTTTTATAGGTTTTTTGAGATGGAAATGTAAAAATAGAGATGCAAGTTTTAAAAGCATTTTAAAATAAGTAAATGAAAATAAAATACTATGTGCATGTAATTTGTATCTAGAGAAAAGATTCCTCTGTTATACAGAGATGGAGAGTTGCCTGACATATCAGCAAGAAGCATTATCCAAATGCACATGAAGAACTGAGCCATGGGCAGTTTTCTAATCTGACCTCAGAGGGGGCTCCCAGTTCTAACAATAGGGGAGCTGTCCCCCTTGGTCCTGGAGGGAGGAAGGGGAAGAGGTGTCATATGAACTCAATGAGGACCTGTTACAGGAATTGGAAAAACTGTCCTCATTCCCTGTCCACTGCCCTCCCACTTATTGCTGAAACCATGGGCACCACACAGGTGGCCTGGATAGTGTAGACTAGGCAAGTCAGTCTCTGAAATGAAGTAGGGGAAAAAAAGGCCCAGGAGAATTGGAGAATAACCCCATACTGAGTCTATTTGTCCTGAAGTATATGTATTTTATTTGGTAAATGTGGTGTTTTGAGGGTGTCTACAGTGCTACTCTGGGTGTCTGGAGTGCAGCAATGGAACCAACCCATGAGGCCCGTGGACTTCAGGTGACAAAGGAACTGTGGTTATAATAATTGCAAACAATTTCCATAGGGTGATGGGTAACGGGTAATAGGATGAAAGAGTAAGAAGGGTTAACCAGGAAGGTCATAGGGCAGTATGTTCAAGGCAGGGAAAAGTTTGAGGCCTGAGAATTAGGCCTCTGGGGCAGGGGAAATGGGCAGGGATGACAAAGGGGAAGTGAGGAGGACCTCTCGTCAATGCAGTATGGTGACACCAGGGGAGGGTATGGGCCTGGAAGGATAGGGTTGGTAGCTAGGGACATGCTGTGATGTGTATTCTACATATACCTTTGCGTCTGTGGAGGGAGTGGGGTGAGGGAGAAAGGGACAGGATTTTGTGAGGGGTTCACATGGGTCTGCATAAGAGCATTGGGGACTGGCATTGAGGTGGTGGTCACAGAGGTGAAGGATGACAGATCAGGGCTGTGATTGGGGCATTGGGAATCAAAGAAGACAAATGGAGAACCACTCTTAGAGCATTTCTAATAACCCTAGTTATTGTTGGCAGGACTTTCAGTAAACTTTAGTAAAATATCTGCAGGGGAACCCTGAATAAAATTCTGCAATGTGGAGATGTAATGCACCCAGTGAAAAAACATGCTATTCTAAAGAACAGAGTATGGAGTAAGTATGTTCGTTTGGATTTACATGTGATTTCAACCTTAACTGAAGACACTCATGATCAGGTGATCTCACCTCTCAGGTGCTCCCATAACATAAATTCCAAGGTTGGGTATGGGAGTGATTTGAGTACAGGGTGAGGGTTCCCAAGTGTGATGCCCTGATATGGTGCCCTGATATGATGCCCTGATATGTGATGCCCTGATATGCCCAGTTAAGCTGATATGGTGCTACTCATGGGATGCCAAGATGATTAATAAGTTTACTTCAGCAGGTGCGCCACCAGTAGTGCCCGCAAGCCAGGCATACACCTGCATAGCTGTTACCATACCCACGCTCAACTATCCAGCAGCAAGCTGTGTTGGGGTGGGAAGTCCGCAAGGGTTCTTGGGTGGAGGTGGCCCCTGAAATGAATACCAAAGGATGATTAGGGATTACCTATATATAGGGATTACCTATATTGCTTTTCAGAATTTAAGGAGCATATGAATCATTTGTAGATCTTGTCACAAAGCTGGTTTTAATTTATCATATCGTAGGGAAACTGAGATCCCACACTCTCTCTGTTGATGTCCATGCTAGGGCCAGAAGTGGAATAGCAACTGTCTTCAGATGATTGTAGGAACAGAGTGGCAAAGTAGAAGGGGGCAGGGTCATTTATGGCCATGATATAACCCAGGTTAAGGTAGGAACGCAAAACCTGGTCTGGATGAAGGAGGATGTTTGTACAATTAGCATTCCAGAGGACTGAGGTGGGCGGGGGGAGAAGGGGATGTCTGTGAGGCACGCAGTTATGCTGTTCCCGATTATCCACTCATATAGCTCTATCTACCATGAACAAATATTGTCCCAAGGACACTTGCCATTTTTAGAGAACTACAGACTTGCTTTCATCACTCTTTACCTCCAGACTGCTATTTTTGGGGAGCCCCGGGTCCACTTGTTTCAACCCAAACACCTGTGGATATCTTCTTACCTGTACTATCCCTTATTTTGTACATCCAATCCATCTTGCAGTCCATAGATCATTCCTTCAAACTTTCTCTGTTCTCTCTCTCTGAACCACTTTCTTCACTGGAACTCAGAATTCCTGATTCTCAGTCTTTCAGTGTTTCAGAACCCCGGGAATTTGTTCTCTTCATTCAATGAAAAGAAACACCAGAGCTCTTTGTAAGAATAGTTGAATACTTGTGTGGATCACCAAAATATAGTATAATTTTGTGACCTCTTGCTATTGCCAGATAGCAAGGATGCTTTGAAAATTACACATTGGGGGGGTCTCCCTGGTGGTGCAAAGGGTTAAGACACAGCACTGTGAAGATACCCGAAGCCACTGCAGCATGAGTTTGATCCCCAGCTGGCCAGGGAGCTACCCACATGGCACAGCAGACCTCTCCTGCCTCTCCCACTGCTCCCCTCAGCAGTGTATTTCAGTACATCTGCCTGTTCTGTTCCCCACTCTGTCTCTGGTGAATCCACTCACTGCCCCCCACACCTCTGGCCTGTACCCCAGTTCTTGTATGCATAAAATAAATAAATCTTTAAAAAAAAGAAAATTACAATTGGAATCAAGAGCCTACTGGACCAATTTAAGGAGTCTCCTGCTGGTCAAGTTGAGATAATTAAATAAGCAAAAATTGACCCAAAATGTAGACTTCATTAAAACAAGCACATAAATGCCTTGAGTATATTATGACAATAACAGGGGGAAAAGTTGATTATTTTCACATCAAGTAAGTATTTTATTCAGTTCAATATTTAGTTTGTTAATTCTTCTGCCATAACACTTCACTGTCTTGATTATTGCTAACTATAGAAGATGTCTTGCAAATTTATGTATTTGTTCCTTATCAATCTATAAAGCAGCCTACTTGGATTTTTGTTATTTCTCTATAAAAATTAATTCGGTAATAATGGACATCTTAACAATTTGAGTCTTCCAATTCCTGAACATGGTGTATATCTCCATTATTTAAACCTCAGTTTCTCTCTGAAGTGTCTCATTAAAGTAAACCCTAGCTCATAAATTTATAGATTTCGCATTCTAATATAGATCTCTTTGGTGATAGTTATTGTTTCTAGTTTCCCCACTCAGCTATATCACACAACTTTTATATATAGTGAAATAGTGTATATATATATATATATATATAATATATATATATAATTTCCGTTGTAAAGTCTCCTTGGATTTTCAGTGTAGTGTTTTATTTTAGCATAGAAGTCTTAACATATTGTCAATTAATTTTTTTCATGCTATTGAAAGTGGTAGTTTTTCATTCTTTTTTTAAAAAAATTTATTTATGCATACAAGAACTGGGGTACAGGTCAGAGGTGCAGGGGGTGAGAAGATCACTGGAGACAGAGTGGGGAACAGAACAGGCAGACTGACTGAAAAACACTGCTGCGGGGAGGCAGGATAGCAGCAGGCAAGGCAGGATAGGTCTGCTGCGCCATGAGGGTAGCTCCCTGGCAGGCCGGGACTCAAATTCGTGCTGCAGTGGCTGCAGATTGCTTCATAGTGTGGTGCTTAATCCCTTGCGCCATCAGGGAGGTTCCAGTTTTTCATTCTTATTTTCCATTTATTTGCCATATAGAAATATAATTGATTTTTATATATTGACCTTACATTCTGTAACCTTGCTAAATCTACTCATTGGTCCCAGCAGTTGTCTCATGGGTTCTTTAGGATATTCGATATACACAATTATGCCATCTATAAAGATAAATTTCTTTTTAATGTGCGTATTATTTCCTGCCTTCTGACTAGATTCTCCATTGTAATGTTAAAAAGAAGTACTGAGACCTTTCTGACCTTGAGTGTGATAGGGAAGCATTAAGTATTCTACCATTAAGTGTGGCGTTAGCTGTAGGATTTTCATAAATGTTCTTTACCACAATGAGGATGTTCCTATCCTTTAGTGTGTTGAAAGTTTTGATCAGGGCCTCCCCAGTGGTGCAGCGGTTGAGCGCTGGGTTGCAAAGCTGCCCACAGCCTCTGTAGCGCCGCTTCGATCCCTGGCTGCCAGGTGAGGGTCCCACATGGCGCGCAGACCTCTCCTGCCACCCACTGCTCCCCTCAGCAGTGTACTTCGGTCCTTCTGCCTGTTCTGCTCCCTGCTCTGGCTCTGGTGAATTCTCTCACCCTCCCGCGCTTCTGACTATACCCAGTGCTTGTATAAATAAAATAAATAAATCTTAAAAAAAAAGTTTTGATCAAATGCATTTTGAAATTTTCAAGGACTTTCTGCATTTAAAATTGAGATGATCATAAAATTTCTCTTTTGTTAGTATTATGAATTAAATTGAGTTTTAATTCAACACGTGCTTGTCATTTAGGGATTTTATGCAGTTTTGAATAACATGAAATTCCTACAACATGCCCCACAAATCAGCATAGGGATAGTGTGGTCATCAACAATATCCTAAGGTAACAACTTACAGGTTTGATTGTTTTTGCAGCAACAGTGTATGACTCAGGTAAATAGAGCCCTAAAAGTATTATGATAATTATGTGCTCAATATAGAAATCAGATATTTCACAAAGTGGAGAAGAGGGATTGAGGGGATTTGAGAAAGCAGCTAATCACAATATCCTGGAACACTGATATGAATGAGCAGGTTTGAACTTGCAAGGTATATTTAGTCACCAAAGTGGGAACATGAAGGGTGCACAGAGATGTTTGTGAAAGCTGCTAACTCCGAGGAAACTGAGGTTAAGTGTTTAGTGATTATTGTTCAACTAAGCCAGTAGTCAGGAAGTCAGGAAGACAATCTTGAAGTTTGGAACTTCTGAACAGCTCTGGATCTCTTTATTAATCTACTACTTATACATCCCCTGGGACTGCCTTACTCTTCTCTGCACTCCAGATCTCGTGCAGATTCCTATTCTGTACAGTTCTTAAACCTACAGCAAAGAGGATTATGGAAGATGTAGTTATAAGCTTCATTTAACACACTCCAGCACAACCACCATTCACTTTCATCCTCATGGTTGAAATATTTTTCTTTGTTTTTTAACTTTATATTTTTAAAAGATTTATTTATGCATAGAAGAACTGGGGTAGGTGTAGGGGGAGGTAAGAGGATTCACCAGAGACAGAGTGGGGAGCAGAACAGGCAGATCTACTGAAATACACTGATAAGGGGAGCAGTGGGTGAGACAGGAGAGGTCTGCTGCGCCATGTGGGTTAGCTGCCTGGGAAGGATTGAACTCAAGTTTTCAGAGGCAATAGTGAGATAGCGCTGAGACTCAACCCTTGCACCACCAAGGAGGCCCCATTTGAAATATTTTTCAACTTGAAATTCTGTATCCAATTTGAAGGAGGAAGTAGAAAAGGTGAAACTACCATGTCTGATGAAACCACCCCTTTTTGATAATTTTGCACTTTTTATTTTTTTATTTTTATTTTTTTGTGGGACCCTAGCCAGTGGGTGGGGATCGAACTGGTGCTGCAGAGGCTGCGGGCAGCCTCGCAACCCAGCGCTCAACCACTGCGCCACCAGGGGAGGCCCTGCACTTTTTAAATATATATATATATATATATATATATTTATTTATTCATGTATACAAGAACTGGGGTACAGGCAGATGTGTGGGAGGGTGAGAGGATTCAGAAGAGACAGAGCGGGGAATAGACCAGGCAGACTGACTGAAATACACTGCTGAGGGGAGCAGCGGGTGAGTCAGGAGAGGTCTGCTGCACCACGTGGGTATCTTCCTGGCCAGCAGGGATCAAACCTGCACTGCAGAGGCTGCGGACAGCTTCATAATGCTGCGCTCAACTGCCTGTACCACCAGGGAGGCCCTTAATTTACATATTTATATATAACCTACTTATTGACCAAGATAACTATTTGTAGAATACACTAGCTACAAAAATGCTAAAGATATATCTATTTCATTAGTAGACCTGAAACTGTCTAAGTTCTCTTAGAAAGGAAGAGGGGCAGACTAGATATCAGATATCTAAATCCCAGGGTCTGCGATAGTAGACCAGAAACAAAATCCCAACAAGTACCCAAGTCAATATCCTAAAGACGACCCACATAGCATATTGTGGAAAATAATTAGAAACAATAATAAAATTAATGTTAAATATACTTACTTGCATATTAAATAACATGTTTTTGTCCAAGGAGACAAGAAGATATACACACACACACTTCTATTCAAGGAGCCCTCACAATGGTAATTATATATATAATTGTATATAACAAAAGTGTGATCTAACTGAATGGATACTGGAAATACCAAGAAGATTTGTATTACAATATGAAAACTGTAAATATATCAACTGTGGATCACTTTGAAGATGGGGCATTGATAACATTTATTTACAACATTTTAAAGATCTCTTTTCCAGTACAAAATTTCCTTATCCGTGATAAGAGATGAACCTGAAGGTTTTCCCACATTGGTTACATTCATTGGGTTTCTCTCCAGTGTGATCTTTCAAGTATGTCTTTGAAGTATGAGAGAAAACTAAAGGATTTTCCACATTATGTACATTCCTGTCTCCCCAATATGAGCTTTCACTTGCTGCCTGAGAAATGGTAATAACTTGGACTTCCCCCACATGGTTTCTATCATTTTCTCTTCAGTATGTGTTCTCACACATGTACTAAAGTATTAAGAATTACACTTTCTTACATTTATTACACTTATATGATGTCTCTCTGATGTGAATTTCATATGGCTTTTAAAGAATTAGATATAATTAGAATTTCATATATGCCAAATACTAGTAGAATTGTTCTCCAGTATGAGTTCTCATAGGTTTCCTAAGGGTTGAGGAACAAATGAAGGGATCCCTGTTTTTCATACATTTACAAAATTTCACTCAAGTGCGTATTATCACATACACAGTAAAATGTGAATAGAAGTATTTTTCAATGTTTGCTATTACAGAGCCTATCTCCAGTATTTATACTCATGTAGTAATTAAAGGAGAAGGGGAAACTAGACTTTTGATATTCATTATATGTATATAATGTGTATGTGTGTGTGTGTGTGTGTGTGTGGAGAGAGAGAGAAAGAGAAAAGAGAGAGAGATATCTACCTTTCTGGTATGCAACTTACACTTGCAGAGTATGTTTTGAGGAATAAGTGAAAATATTCCCACATCTTTATATT